AACTAACCATGTTGATCGCCTCGACCCGGCTGTAATTCGACCAGGACGTGTGGACAAGATGGTTGAGTTCGGGTTAGCAAGTCGAGAGATGCTGCTGGGGCTGTTCCGATACGTCTATCTGCCCTTGTCTAGCAAGACCGAGAGAGTAGGAGACAAGAACGAAGGAGTCGTCAACAACCAAGACGCTCAGGATACCCAGAAGCATATTCAGGAGCTGGCAGCGATGTTCGCTGATCGTGTGCCTGCGATGAAATATAGCCCGGCTCAGATCTTGTCATTTCTGATTGCGCACAGGCATTCGCCTCGAGACGCAGTGGAAAATGTCATCTCCTGGGTTGAAAAGGGGGGGGAAGGTTTCATTCCTCTGAGGCGCCACACTTCTACAATGAACACGAAGAGTGAGGAGGCAGTGGACGTGTTCGTGAGCATGGATGATCTCCAGTCGTGGTCAGCATTTTAGTTTGCAAACTGCCAGCTGCCGATCCTTACTTATCCATTTTGTTCGTCCAGTCCGTATACAGTATCTATCGAGCAAGAATATATCGAATTCCTTGAAGGCGGTTGCATAAAAGACGAGTGGACGGATCATGCCTGGGCATTTGAGTTAACTCGCGAGTTTGGCCCTTTTTGACTCACTCGCGTGAGTCGGGTTCAAGTCGAGACTCACTCGCGAGTTTACTCAAACTCAAAGTTAACTCACAAGCTCTGGTCACATGACATGGACCTTACTGCACTTTACGAACCGCTCCCTTAATAGATATCTCCGAAGCGGTCAGTTTGCTTTAAATTTACGTACGAGGAAGACGGCGCGCGTGCCAGCGAAGTTAATTCCGACCTCATGACTGCAGTTTGTGAACAGGGTGCGGGCAGCCGAGGATGTAGCAACATTCTAAACTAGACAGCGTGAATATATGAGAAGGTATGATCAGCCATCGTCGCGATTGGTTTCCTCAAAATCAATTTCGACTCAAAGTAAAAAAAAGCAAAGTTACGCCATGTCTGAGTCTACGAGTCAACTCACGAGTTTTTGAGGCTAACTCATACTCAAATTATGTGAGTTTTTGAGTTTGAGTTGCGAGTTACTCACGAGTTGGTGTTTGAGTTAACTCAAATGCCCAGGTATGGGACGGATTCTTATACCACGCGCTGAGCTTAGCACAGTAGTCCTGTAATTCCTGGTATGGCAAAACTTGTCACTTTTCTCACCCTCCTGTTACTATGCCGGGCAACCCCCGGAAGCTTCCGCAGAGTACAGCACCCGTATCACGCCTTCGTGTGACGGAGTATGGTGGTGTTGACAAGACTGTCGAGGCTTGTTTCACTGACAGACAGCGAAATATCAATTAAACATCCGCTGCCGCAAGAGTTGACATGCGAGAGCAGTGCCGAGTAGCGGCAGAGGAAGCCGCGTGTACGTCGGCGAAGCGCTGGAAGCCTAAATTTCACCGACGCAGGCGGTTAAATTCAAAGGTGTCCACTGCTGCATATGTCGTCCTTCAAACAGTTTACTATCTGCAGGAGAATCTCATCCGGAAATTCGGTGAGGTACCGCCGTTCAGATGCATGGACTGTCGACATTTCCGCAACTGGGAGAATGGTGCTGGTGCGGGGTTCACAAGGCTAGACGTCAAGGATAAGGCTGCCTCGGTTGGTGGCGTTCAGCACCTAACTGGTTAGGTGGAGTGT